ACATGGTATTAGGTACTCAAATTCAACATGCAAACACTTAGCTAGCTAATTAACATTTCCAGTTCAAGATTAAATTCGAACAACAGCCATAATCATCAAATTTTTCAGAAATTTTTCCAGCTAGCCTCGGATGATCTTGCATGCAAGCTGATTTCATTTCATTTTTATTTTTCTTGCCTAACCGATCTAACTATCCTCATGCAAGACTTAATCACTTAGTTTTTAGTTGGTTAATCACAATTACAAGCTCAGATTGTCAAGAAATAAACGAATTAACTCAGCATTATCCTATTAAATTCTCGGCAAACCCATTTCCTGTGCACATCAGAATTTTCTTTTCCTAAATTACTCATCCGAATGCCTAAACTCAACATGCAAGCCCATCAATCACTGCATCTATTTGAAATCGACGATTCTAGGTCCAGAGTTTACCTCGAACTGAAGCTTACTCACGTGGCACAAAAACTGTCAAATTTTCCTCTCGGCTCGCGCGAAGATTGGAGGTGTTGGTCTGATTTTGGTCGCGGGTGGCAGTTGTGATGTTGCGGCTGGAATTGATGAAATGGTTGCAGCTGGTGGAGGTGAAGGTGCAGAAGGAACTTATGCACGGCCTCTCCCTTTCTTCCCTCAGGCTCACGGACAGAAACAAAAAAGGTTGCAGCTCGCGGTTTTCTTTTTCTTACTCTCGGATGCAGAAGGCAGCTCTCTCTCACGGTCGATAATCACGAGGTGAAGTGTTGTGGTGGTCTGAGGTGTGGTAGTGGAGTGGAGATGGGGTGCTGAAATGAAGATGAATCGCGGATGGAGGAGGTTGAGTGTTTGAGAGGAGAAAGAAAATGTGATCCGGCAGAAATGGAATTGTGATTTTAAAAGGTTGGCCAATGGATCCTTGGTGGTTGCATGGTAACTTCCGAGGTGGTGGAGACTATTTTACTCTTTTCACGTTTCCTTCGAATTTTCACTTAAGTCCTTATTCTTAATCTAATTCCAAAATTTACCCCAATTGTAATTTGAATGCCTAATAATATACTATTCTCGCAAAGATTCGATTATCGAGATTTTAACGACCTAAGTATACTAAGTGCACTTGTAACGGTTTTGTCTAAAATTTACTGACTTCATCTTATTGCTAAGGTTCCTATTAACACTTAATATTATTAACGATTAAAACTAGCTATCGGAATTCAAGGAATTAATATTAAGGCGATAAAATAATTTACATCAAGAAATATCAATTTATCTTGGCAAGAATCAAGTAATTTCAATATTTTACACAATTGAATTGTTTGTAGCATAAAAACTATTTTTACGTGCTTACTTGAGAACAAGTAAAGATAGAAGTGGGATTTATTAAAAAAAATCTAACATGCAAAAGTAATATGTAACTGTATATTTATTATTATTATTATTTTATATATTTTTTTTCGAGGTTCTCACAGGCTTGGTCGATAAGTTTAGCAAACCATGAGATATTCGTAGAGTATGATCTATTGGAGAGATCTTGGTCGGCATTACTCGCGCAGTATTGCCATGATATACTCGAGTATTATCAAGACTTTAATGAGCGGACCCGGTAAAGGGGGTGTAACGGTGACGGGATTCGAAGAAAAGTGGTGTATCTACGGATTTGATACTTATGTGGTTGACAGAATGTCACCATGTGATGTGATCAAAACTTGTATACGACTACGTGAAATTTAGCTCATGAGAGCTACAGTATCCTTGAATTGTTTCTGTTTACTTTTCCTATTCGAAATGTGAATTATTCGAACTTGATAGCTTTATTAACTATGTAAATTGTGGCTACTTGGATTACGTGTTTGCATGTGTGTTTCTTGGCCTCACTGAGTATTGGCTCATTCCATTAGTTTATTTTCCTTAATAGGAACCCGATTAGAAGGAGTTAAACAAATGCCGAATTGAGGCACTTTTGTATTAATGTTTTAATTGTAATCGACTAGACACTTTTGGATGTTGTATATATTTGGGAATTGATGTATGTTTTGGATCCTGATGTAAGAATTGGGTAACTGATGTATTTTGAACTCATGGTGCAAGACTTGGATATTCGATTATAGAAGCGACTTTTCCTTATTAGACTAGTATAAATTGTTATATATTGTTAAGTTTGAATCGATTTGTCTCGAGTCCTGACCAGAGTTGGGCAGGCGTTCCGTGGATACTCTTGGGTTCGCCCTTGGGAGAAGTGGGGGCGTCACATAGTCAAATTGACAAAATATCTTTCATATATCTCAAAATCTTAGAACGAAAATAGTGAACAGTTACAAGCAGAGTCATTAACAGCTCAAACATTCAAATAAGCAATTTAACACCAGCAAGAAAGGATACTGTACTGATAAGTTGGCTTCCGCCAGATTCTAGACAGAGCACCCAAGATTCAAATGTTGATACAACTGATGTGGTATTCCTACCCGATTTCAAGTGTAGCACTTAGTCTTGTACAGTGTTTCACTTGCAGCCAGCTTCGCAGTAACATCTTCCAGGTCCGTTGACACTTCGTCAACGTTTGAAATATAGTAACAAGTCCAGTAAAATACCGCTTATCTCTAATCTCCGTCCACCGATCAACCTCCTACCGAGCTCGAACACCAAGATAACAGAGATGGTAACAGAAGTGGTATTACTCGAGTATACCCAAGCAAGAACAAGTATGGTCGATGAGATAACTCTCCAATCGATTTAATCAAGATAGAGGTATTGAGACGGGAATGAGAGGCACCTCCCACTCAAATTGAGTGTGGTATATGCTGCCGCTCAACACTAGGGTCGATGAGATAACTGTTTAATCGACTTAATCAAGATAAAAGTATTGAGATGGGAATGAGAGGCACCTCCCATTCGAATTGAGTGTGGTACATGCTGCCGCTCAGCACTTACAAGTCAAGCACAAGCACAAACACAAGTACAGGTCAATCAAATTCAGGCAAGTACAAGATCATTCAAGAAGGGGAGGACGAGTGTGATAAAATACACTCTCGCCTCATCAAGTTCAATATTCAACACATAACACGTGGTATCATTCAAATCAAGATATCAAGAACATGCACTTGGCACTCACCAGTTTAAGCAAAATAATGTCAAAAGTTCGCCCTCAAGTTATGCCCTTGATCATCAACAAACCCTAAGAACAACCAAGATAGAGTATTATGGTTCAACCATTCAAAACTTAGGTGAACCAAAGAAAATCCAAGTAATTACTAGTGCAAAGATGTAAATATGGTTTTGGAGTGAAAAGAGAACATTTGGACCCAAGGAACATGAGTAACCAAGGAATTCCTCATTTCAATTCATGGCTGGAATTTCCAGCAACAAATAGCTAAAATGACAACCAACCTCGAGCTTAAAGTGAAATAAATGCAACTAGAAAGCATGCTAGAAGAAACCATCAAATTTTCTCTTATTTTACACATGGTTTTGTCAAAATTTCACCTTATACACTACCATCAAAGTACACTCAAGAAATCACATGTAACCTAAGTCCAAACCAATCTAAAATCACCCCTCTAACATCACTTATTTCACAAGAAAGAAGGTAATAAAAATTTCAGCAGCACTTCCCCTAGTTTCTTTACATTTTGATCCAAACTCAACAACTATGTTCATATCAATCCAACTTCAATCACAACCACAAGTTACAAGCTATAAAGTGCACTTGTTTAAGGCCACAAAACCATCCAATATAGCCAATTTTCTAGCTCAAAAATCAACCACAACAAAGCTGAAATTTTGAAACCCTAAGCTGAAATTTTGAACTACAAGCTGAAATTTTACATAAGCAAGCCATAATAACTTATAAAAACTAGAAAATTCACATGGCAAAACTACTAAATCATGGCCAAGCTCAAAGCATCATAATAAAGTTGAAATTTCACCATCAAAGCTGAAATTTTCGAATCACCACTCAAACCATGAAATTTCTCATGAAAACTATCAAAATCAAGTTCTAAATCCACTCTTATGCAAGTATTAAAAGAAAAGAGGGCTGCTTGATATAGTTACCTTAATACACTAATAAGAAATGGAAACCAAGTGCTTCTTTCTCCCAAATCATTTTACCAAAATCCTTAATCCTCCCAAAAGGTCACTTTTTATGGTTTGGATTGCAAGTTTATGGTGAAACTCAAAGATTCAAGCAAGAAATGGAGGTTGAAATTGAAGCTTTTTTTCTCTCTTTTCCTCTCATGAAAGTCGGCCAAGGGAAGAAGATGAAAGGTTGTTTTTTGGTCAATTTTTCTTTTAATTAAAGGCTAAGAATAGTCCAAGTCAAGGTCAAAATTCCATGAATTTTGTGACAATTGTCCTTCCAAAGTTAATCCTCATCCTATTGTCTTCCAATCATTAAAATATCTAGCCAACGTCTAATTATCGTATAACACCTTATAAAATAATATCCCTTTATACAAAACTCCTCTTAATCTTCAAAAATTTATCGCACACGCCTCACTAGTGAGTCTCAATTCCATAATGCACTACGAACATATCATGCACTAACTTATAGTAGAAAAATGATTAAAATCTTGACTCTCTTATAAAAATATATGAGAAATTAAGGAAATAAAGTAAAGTAAGGAAAATGTACTCAAAGAAATAAGATAAAATAAAAATAATTTTCGAGTCCTCACATGTCATAACTTGGTTCTCACTTCCAAAGATTCTCCCACCCCAACCCTGCCCCGTTGCAATCCTTAAACAAGACTAATCTTATCGGCAAGATGTCATAACTTGATTCTAACTTCCAGAGGATCAATTCAGTAGTACTGCTTGCTTCTTCTTCTTCTTTTTTTTTTTTCACAACGATAACAATTATATAACCTACTCTAGTCTAGTCTAGGGAAGAAAAATTCTAATCGATGGAGAGCCATCGGAGAAAGCTACTTGAAAGTGACAGTCACGATTAACTGACAAGTATACGCTAACCCCACCAAGACCACCAAGTTACCAAGGCTGTTGGCAGTTCAGTAGTACTGCTACTTAGTTGCGTAGTGGCGGGCATGGTGGCGCCAGCATGTGCCAAAGAAAGCAACGGAAGAATGCTCCTGACCTTGAGAACCAAGGTGAAAATGGCATCATCGCCCAGGTTTTCCCGCCATGTGTCATATGTTCAAACTGCAATAACTACCCATAACAGTCAACCAAAACATCATGACCATCGTCAAAAGTCTGATGCATTCTCTGAAAATCTCTTGCTTCTCTTGAAGCAATGCAAATCCATCCGTCCCGTCCAGCAAATCCATACCCAAATACTTATTAATTCCATTTACAAGCACAACTTTCTCCTTGCAAAACTCATTGCTCTAAAAGACTTCAGCTATTCCCTTCAGCTCTTCTTGCATCTTCCCCATCCTAATGACTATGCATTCAACGTTTTCATTAGAGGGCTCACGACAACGTGGGGAAAATTTGATCTTGCATTGCAATTTTACTGCAAAATGAAGTCTTTAGGTGTAAAACCGGATAATTTCACGTACCCGTTTGTGTTTATTTCCTGTGGCAATCTTTTGGACTTTGGGCATGGTAGATTAGCTCATTGTGAGGTGTGGAAAAATGGGCTGTGGTTGAATTGTCATGTGTGTCATTCTTTGATCACGATGTACTCGAGATTTGGTGAGTTGAGTTTTGCACGGAAAGTGTTTGATGAAATTCCGGTTAGAGATTTGGTGTCGTGGAATTCAATGATTTCTGGGTATTCCAGGGCTGGTTTTGCTGGAGAGGCGGTGGAGTTGTTTTATAAAATGAGGAATAAAGAGGTTGCACCTGATGAAATGACTCTTGTGAGTGTTCTTGGTGCTTGTGGGGACTTGGGGAACCTGGACTTGGGGAGCTCTATTGAGAAGTATGTTGTGGAGAAAAGCATTGAGATGAATTCTTACATGGGGTCAGCTTTGATTGACATGTATGGGAAATGTGGGGATTTGGGCTCTGCAAGGAGGATATTTGACAATATGGGGAAGAAAGATGTGGTTACTTGGAATGCCATGATTACTGGGCAAGTAACTCTGCTCTTAAGTTTTCTTTGACTCAATTGAGTTCTTCATTTGCCTTGAATGTACTTCCAGACCATAGTTGTTGTGCTTTTCTGTTTTATGCTTACTTGTGATGATATCGTTCTGCAGTTTGATTAAGCAGTTTAGTAAGTTATAGAGTGGGTGTTAAGACATGCTTTTAAGAATGTGAATCGACATGCTTAGCATTAGAATTACATCTTATTAAACAAGCAAGTAGATTCTTTTATAGAAAATGTAAATGTTTGCATAAACATGTATGGACATTTTTAGCATGACTTGATGCTTTTGCATCTTATATCTTTTTCAAAAGGAGACTTAAATTTTCTAAGAGAAGATGGTGCTTTTTATAACAGCTTTAGTTGGGTGTAAACTTGTAATTCATAAAAAAGAACTTGGGTTATACTTCTGGAAAAAGTTGTAACTTAAGCATTTAATCTTCCATTAAATTTTCTGCCCCTTATTTCAGAAAAAAATAAGTATAAAAAAAATAACACAAGTGCAAAAATATTTAGAAAAAATTTATAAAAGTACAAAGTCTTGTGGTAGCATCTGTACCTAATTGAGCTTATCTCAAACTTAAGAAAATGTTCATGAAGACAACCAATTATTGGGTTGATTTAACTGCCTACGCGAGACTATTATTTTGTATTTTCATTTTCGTTGATTTTTCTGAAGCTGTCAAAGATAGAAGTAGATTTACTACCTCTTGGAGTTCAAATATTTTCTTGTGATTTTTGTCTAATACTTTCATTTTAATTAGAGATAGTGGTGAACTTCTTGTTCTGGGAACTATTGTCGAGTCTCACTTAACGGCCTAGCATTCTGCTTTGCCTTGGTAACTTTAGTCTTTGGGCTTAATAATGTGAAAGGAAATCACAAAAAGAAAAGAGAGGATAGCTTGAAATTTAGTTTGTGAGTGTGCTTTCAGGAGAAGGTAAGGGAATGGAAAGATTTTAAAACTTTCAAAGACTTCTTTTTCTTTCTGCAAAGTAGGAGGAGATGGTGAGAAATTTTAGGCTACTGGATGGAAATTGCTGATATCTCCTTTGCCCATCAAGTGTAAACAAATGTGTAAGTTTCATTATCTAACAATCCTTTGGCTTAATGTGTCTCAAAAGAGAGCAAGCAAACTTTTATTGTTTCTCTAATTTCTTTGCTCCTTGTTAAAGATTTTCTCATTTTCCTTTCTTTCCTAAACTAAACAAAAATAACGTAGTGCATAAGATATGTATATATATATATATATATATACATATATTCTTTTAGCCTTTTTTTGTTTGGAGAAATATTTTAACTGGAACTTTTTTTTCCTTATATGAGTAACAGAAAATTTTGGAATCTTTTGACACATATTGAATTAAACAAGGAAAGAGTGTGGATTTCTTATCTGCCTGAGTAGGATGGTGACTTAGTCAGGTTGCTTGATGTTATATCTTCAACAAGGTACTAATAATACAAACTGAACAATTTCTTTTTCGTCTTCTTCTCTTTTTTACCTCTGACAGATACGCACAAAATGGCTTGTCAGATAAAGCAATGTGCTTATTCAATGCCATGAAAGCTGCAGGGGTGGATGTGGATAAAATCACTGTGATTGGAGTGTTGTCTGCATGTGCTTCAGTTGGAGCTTTGGACTTTGGAAAATCTATATACAAGTATGCATCACAAAGTGGCTTAACGGATGACATATATGTTGGTACTGCATTGATTGACATGTTTGCTAAGTGTGGGAATCTGGACCTTGCATTTCAAGTTTTTGGAGACATGCCCATAAAAAATGAGGTATCCTGGAATGCAATGATCTCTGCTCTTGCTTTTCATGGGCAAGCTCAAGAGGCTCTGTCATTGTTTGAGCGCATGTTAAGGGAGGGTGGTAGTACTTCCTGTCCAAATGACATCACATTTGTTGGGCTGCTTTCTGCATGTGTACATGCTGGATTGGTCGATGAAGGCTGCCACTTGATTGATTTGATGAGCTCATCTTTTGGTCTGGTTCCGAAAATTGAACATTACTCTTGCATGGTGGATCTTTTCTCACGTGCTGGACGAGTATATGAAGCATGGAACTTGATTGAGAAGATGCCAGAAAAGCCGGATGAAGTTCTCTTAGGAGCACTCCTTGGTGCCTGTAATAAAATTAAAAATGTTGATGTTGGTGAGCGGGTAATGCAGCTTCTCCTGGAGATGGAGCCTTCAAACTCTGGCAACTATGTGATTGCATCAAAAATCTATGCAAATCAAGATAGGTGGGTTGATTCAGCAAGGATAAGATTGTTGATGAGACAGAAAGGCGTAAGTAAGACTCCAGGTTGTAGCTGGATTGAAATGGATAATAAACTTCTTGAATTTCATGCTGGTGAAACTTTACATAGTGCACAAAAGGTTTATCAAGTGCTTAACATGCTGTACAAAGAGATGATGATGGAAGGTGGAATGTCAGATTCATATGTTCACTTAGTGGAAGAGTAGAACTTTAGATATTGGCAGGTTGGTGTTACAGTACATCTTAATTCGAGAAATATCAAGTTTCTTACTAAACTAATGAATGTTCAAAGGGAATTTGCTTTTAAAATCTTCCTGCATAATGTTTCTTTGCCACTCTTGTAGAAAGAAGCGTGTGACCATAAAATTGAATAAATGCTGATCAAATTTTAGTTGTTAGCAAACTTAATTTTGAGTCTTGTAAAGAAAATGCTATTAACCATGAATTATCTGCCAATATTAACCCAAAAAAGAAAGGAACAAAACAGATCAATCTTGAACAGCTTCATGGCTGGATTTCTTTCTTGATGCTTTTTTTAAAAAAAAAATAATTTGTTCTCTTGCAAAGGTGGATATTTAAATCTATACTGGTAGCAAAGTACATTTTTAGATGACATATAGCTTCTTTAGCATATTAGTGTGACTACACAAGTTGCTGCAAGACAGGTGTAAATTGACAACATTTCTCTTCTTAAATTGACACTAGTTGCTATCATGCTTGTCATTTTTTCATGTCTTATCTTTTGAAATTTGTGTCTTATTTTAGCTTTTGTAAGTTTGTGATAGAGCGGTTATTTGGCACATTTTGCACTGTTATTTTGTCCTAATTTTAGCTACTTACTGTGCTAAGTATTGAGGTTTTGCTCATATTTCATATTTGTATGAATTACAGATGATTGGCGTTAAAAGTAATCTCTTGAGGCAAATTTTCAGAAGACCCTTCATCTCAGAGCGTGGCCACGCCAGAAAAGGTAGATGCTCCCGAAAAGCCGGATCCGCGGGACCAATAGCAGGAGACCCAATTAAGGCACTAGATCCATGTGAACCAGATGCGTGGGATTAAAACCCATAGACAAGTCCTGCTCCTAATTGCTTTGGCTGGCGGCGGCTACAAAAGGCAAAAGAAAGCCAGATTCACGTATTAGGAATTAGATAGCTTTAGTTTTCTTTTTCCCTAGCCGTCAGACATTGTAGACTCTTCTCTTGCTTTTTGGCTTTGACGTTTTTTGACTCTTTTGCTTTGGCTTTGGCTCTGTACAATTTTCGTTGGCTTTTGCGTTGTACTTCGGCTTCAGTACGAACATTAACGCAAAGACAAGGAAGACGTTTTCTTTTCTTTCTTTCGTCATTACTCCATCGTTCCAATTTCGCTGATGACTGTGCGGATGAAATCAACCAACCCACGCAAAATTGATACGATGAGGAGCGGCTAGGTTTTTCTTCTACCCAAAGGTTAACGCGAAGGCGCGGTCCATAACATCTGTGAGATCTAATCAAACTTTCATTACTTTTTCCAATTTGTTGCTATTCGTACGTTTCCTGAATTAATTGTTCATGGGTATTTCATTAACTTAATATCAACGGTCGGGTATTTGATTTAATTTAATAGCCTACTGTCATATTAACTAAATTGAATCCGTAATTGTTTGTTTAGTCGATACCTAGTGACAACCACCATAATTGGGTTTATGTTGGGGAAACGTAAGATCTAATTTAAATAAACCCTCTTAGCGTATTTATTAGTTAGGGTTGGGTTCTTCTAGTTTCAATGCAATTGGGTAATTAAATTCCTACGGTCGTACCTAGGGTTGTTATCTGGTTAGAGAAGCAGTCAATGGTCGTACCTTGATTGTTGAAAAAGTAAGGAAGAACTGGTTGTCAGAGTTTATTGATAACTATAACCAACCTAGTGATGAATGGATGAAATATCTTTGCATCGATGATCATTTAATTGGACCGTGCCTGAACAGCTGATCCTTTGGGTAGAACTTTTATTAATTGCTATTTTTAGTAAATTGTGCTTTGTGAGTTAGTTTTGAATTTTGTTTGTTTTATTTCATTTTTTATTTTCCTCCCATCAAAAACCCCCCATACTCTGAACTCGAGAAGAAACGAATTATTCCCAGTCCCTGTGGATTCGACCCTACTCACCGCTATATACAAAATTTGTAATTTTCTTGAGTAGGTATTTATTATTGCACAGATTCGGCACCTGTCAGTTTGCCAAAGGATACTACCCTATCTAGTTGAACCTGTTTTGCTGATACAGCATTATAATGCGTTGCTCTAAACCTGCAACCGGGATATTGCAGGTTTGTGGATGGTTCCATTTGTTTATTTCTTCTGCTCAAGCTGAAAATGAGAAAGGAAATGAAGAAAGAGGAGATTTACCAAATATGTTTGCATCTACATTGCTGAGGTTATTGCTCAGTTTTTGGTTTTGCTTCTTTACTTCTATTTGTAACTTATACCTTTCTTTTGGCGCTTGCATATACCCTTACGTAGTTAGATTACTACTTAACTTCTCTGTTTTTCTGCAAAAGAATCTAGAGAAGGTGATGATTATCACTGAAAGTTGACAGAAGCGGATGAGGATTGAATAAGAAACAAATGCTTTGCAGCATTCGGCCTCAAGGTAGATACTGTTGCTTAGTTATATTCATGCTGTGGACTTGACTTGAATTATGCTTTCTTACTTGGCCGATTCTTTTGCAGGTGAAGCTCTTTCAATACCAAGGAGAAATTTCTGTCCCGAACATTGGTAAGCACTTAAAAGTTTTATGGTGCCGTTGTCTTTTCCTGCTCAAAGTCTTGAAGCTTAAACAGATTGTAGATGGAAGTCCGTCAAAAGCCAACAATTATTCTTAATGATATATATATATATATATATATATATATCTGGCTTAAATTTGAAATTTTTACCACTGTTGGTGACAAATTATTTGGGTCACATAACTTTTTTCAAAAATCTATACTTCATTTTGCTGGACCTTAACCAAGTTTCTTTTTATGGGGTGGTTGTGACTTTTATTACATCTATTTTGTTTACCATCAACTGTTCTTGAGAAATCTGAAGATGATGCATATCCAATATGCTTGTGGGACAATTTTATCAGTTTAAAAGTATAACTGGATTGTACTTATGTTGAGATAAAAGATATGCTGTGCCCTTTTGAATTATTACTCTAAATGTCAAAGAAAAATGGCTAAATAAGATGCTTGAGTAAAGAATGTTCTTCATAGAATGGCTAGTTTGAGGACGAACCATAATCTATATATTGGAATATGGTCAATTATGGAGGTGAGAAATTTTTTATCAGCCAACAAAACACCTGGTTATGGCTTGGATCGTTAGATTACTGGAATCTTTTTAAATTACATCGTAGCATTTTTTTTTTCAGGAAATACTTGTCTTTTTGTCTATTTTCACTTCATTTGGTGCTTTATTTTGTTTTGGTGCATTTACAATTGAAAATTCATTTCAGTGTAGGGACTTGAAATTCCATTGACAAGGAAATCATAGACTTTGAAGTCTTGTATAATGAATCAGCCATTTTAGAGGTTTTGAAATCCATAGCTTTTAGCCAGTAACTAGGTATTAAAAATGGTGGTTTTTTTTGGGGGGGGGGGGGGGGGGGGAGGATGGGTTGGGTGGTAAGGTGGGAGGAGTTGTAAGTGGGTTCAAGACCTCCCACTTACCAAAAAAAAAAAAATCTAGGTGTTAAAAATGAAATATATTCTGATTTGATCCCATACCTTTGCTTTTAGTTTGTAGAAGTCAATTTGCAATGTTACAAATATTGTTTTTGGGAGATGATAATAGGCAATGTGTAGCTCATAGGTTCCTTTGTGATAGGTGGTTGGACTGATGCTTCAATAGCTCTTATATTAGTGGATTTGAGTTAATGCTTTGTTGGTCATTTAATCACTTTGTAGCGGTTTTGAAATTGACATGAAATCTAGACAGGTGTAGGCAATTGGAAAATGCCTTGGGTGCAGATTTTCTATGAACAAGTTCATCATCTGTGTGTTCAAGCTTGAGCTAGGTTCAATATAATCAGCTGTGAGCTCCATTGAGTTCCAATAGTCAAGGTTGAACTTGACTTGGTAAAATCTAAAGCTCAGGGTTCAGATTAGAAGTCAAGTTTATCTATTTAGGCCTGTGTTAAATCATACTCACGTTCATCTATTTTTCTCTTTGCTTTTCTTCCCATTTGGATATCTTTTATTAAGTTACGATCTGTGATTGAAGTTATCTGATTGGATACCAGAAGCTTTGAACCTTCAGACTAGATGAGTTCTGCAGAAAGGATTGTTAAATAAATAAAAAAAGGCGAAATTTAATTGTGGAAACTGAAATAGAATAAAGAAAAGGAAATGCTCAGATGTCAATATTTGTTTTAATTTCCTTTTGAAATATTTGCAAAACAACTAGTAGATTGTCCAATTTCGGGTTTTCTAAAAATATGCCAATACTGACATCAAAAACCAGAAAGGGAAAAAAGAGGAAAAAGAAAACAGCCATAGAAACACATGTGACTTGAGCAAAGAGTACTGAACAGAAAAATTGCAGATTTCATTTTGCTTGCATAATAAATCATTGCAGCATTTCACCTTGTAGGGTATGGGAATCGCCTAGTAACCATGTTGAGTCCTCATTCAGGTAGGAAGGAGTATAATATTGGAGGAATTGGTAAGTCAACAAACACTGGTTTTCAATTAAGTGAGATGCAATTCTATTCAGTGATTTTTGTTATTATGTTCTATACCTTTCTATCTGCCATGCTTTTAAGCAAGGTGCTCCTCCAGTGTCATTATGAACTGGGTGAGGCAATCCTACAATCTCCAACTTGTGTTGGGATGAAATTCAGATATATAAAATTAGATGTTCGAAAATAACAGAAGAAGAAATGCATGTGTTGGGATATAACAGTTGCTTGGGGGGTGGGAGATTGGGGGGGGGGGGGGGGGGGGGAAGGGGGAGACCTCCAGAGGCATTAAGTCTGGTGCTGAAGCAGACATAGTAGTCATCAACTGAAATACAGTTGTGAATCTACTAAGAAAAAAGAAAGTGCTAGATTGAGTTGTTTGGTTGGGGGATGACTTGATCCTTTTGGAGATTTGGGCAGCATGGAACATACTATGGAATTCTCTCGTTCCATAGGAGCAATTTGAGGAACTTTTTGTTCTACCCTGCATGATTTGAAAGATTTTTTTGAATTTCTATTTGTTGTTAATCAAGATAAAATACAATGTATTTGTTGTCAATTTTCATAAATTTCTTGGGCTTTCCATTACAGACTTTGGAGTTTGTTTGACATGCTCTAGATCGTTTGTGAAAATACTGTTAAGTGGTATAGGGATGGTAGAGTCTTCCCTATTGTTAGATTTAGAATTCGAATCCTGTGCTTGGCACTTGGGGATGGAAAGGGTGTAGGGAGGGTTAGAAAAAAAAAAAAGTAGTATGGGACTAGTCTAATATTGACAACACTTGAGTGAGAACGAAATATGTCAAACACTCGCCTTTTTTTTTTCGCTTCCATAACTACGCTGTACTTTCAAGTTTGAAGTGAAATTCATTGTCTAGAATTAGGTATACTAAGCTTGCTTTCTCTATCAATTGCTGCAAGCGAAGCTAAAATATGCAAGTTAAGAAGTTATCAGTGTTAACCTTGTCGCATGAGTTAAGAAGTTATCAGCGTTAATCCTATTTTGTAGGTTTGCACATGATGCATAATAGTAGTATTTGTTGTTCTATCTAAGTTGGATTAGAAATGGATAAATAAAGTTGTTTCGAACATGATTTTCATCAACTTTGAGCACTTGATGGAACAATTATTTGTAACAAATAACATTAATTTCTACTGTCAATTATATGCAAAAGCAATTCATCCTATAGCCCTTTGGCCTTCGTAGCCATGTCATCTATTTTTATCGCCAAATTATACGTACTTGTAATTTGTATCTTTTATTTTTTTTTTGTGCAGATTTCAGCATTGATCATGTCACTTCTTTATAATGGCTAAATCTTTTTATCCTCCATTGTATCTGTATAGTAAATCCACTAAGTAGGATCTAGTTTTCCCCACTTTTTGTGGGATTAAAAGATTGTGATGTAGATTAGTTTGCACAATGTTGGTTCAATAATTTTGATGATTTGTTAGTTTTTGTCTTTCAAGTTTATAGCTGTGAACTTTTATACACTAATGGGAAACATTGTAAATAGGAGGTCCTTGGTCTAAGATCTCCTATTTATATAAAAAAAAAAAACCATATACAACTAAAAATAGATAGAAAAACTATTTTTCTTAGTAATCCTACTTCTATAATAGAACAACAGTTTCTATGTATCTTCCCTCCTTTTACATTATCTAACTACAAAGTCTTTTAGAAAACACATTATATTACTACAGAGTTTTTTAAAATAAAGTCATATGCATTACCTTCTGCTATTGGGCAACGGAATGAAATCATACCACACGATGCTCGGTTTTAAGCCTTCAGTTATTAACATATCTAGTCTATGTGGCAATGCCAATCTTCCCCATTGATTTCAATTGTTGATGTGTTGCTCTCTCATTGGTCAATTGGTGGTAGTCCAATTGATTGCAATTTGATGAGGTGTCATCTTGTGATTCGTCAATTGGTGATAGTTCTCCCAATTGCATATGAAATTGATGATGTGTCGACTTTTGATTAAATGGGAGGTGGTAGTCCTCTAATTGTAAGTGGGATTGTACTAAAATTTTGTCTCTTTTTTTCCCTCAACAAATCACATTAACAAAAATTTTGACTCCTTTTTTTTGAGTGTGCACCAAATCATGTCTAATTACAAATTTTCACGTCTAATTACCAATTTTTTGTAATTAATTGTTAATAACTAATTAATAATGTGATGTTTTTGGTCACCCAATAAATCACATTTAATTAATAATTTTTTGCAATTATTAACAAAAAATTGGCTTCTTTTTGTGGTTGCCCAAAAAATCACATTTAATTATCAATTTTTTTTTCAAATGTTATCAAAAACTTTCCTCTTTTATTTTGGATCAACAAAACATGTTTAATTATCAATTTTTTTGCAATTAATAATTTCACTTTTTTATTGCCTAACAAAACACATTTAATTACCAGCCTTTTGCAATTATTAACACTTTTTTTTTTGTTTCCAAATAAATCACAATTAATTATCAAATATTTTAATTAATTGTTAATCAACTTATAGAGTCTAAACGTGAATGTAATTGTGAAGGGTGTTAGTTTTTTGCTTATGTGGCAGCTAGTGATAAGCTAGGGTGTGATCGTGCAAGTTACATTAAATAGCTATCAAAGATACAGTCAACCAAACATAGTAACTCCGGTATGGTAAAAGGTGCCAAAAAAGAATATTGAAATGGTCAAATAATAGTGAATCCCCCAAAGAATAGGAAACGTAAACGACCAATGCCTATCTTAATGCCAAGTAACCCAAGGGTCTTTTCTTGAAACTCAATCTCTATGAGAATCCAAAAATTTACCTATTTCAAACTTTTATTACTGGTTTATTTAAATATTTAATTACCTGTTTGCTCCGAATAATTTATTTCAACCCTTTTGAAGCATTTACATGGAACTATGATTTGCATATATTTTCAAAAATGTCCTGTTAATAAATTTAATTTTCGAAAGTTCGTTTAGTAAGATTTAGTGAATACGTGTTTGGAGGCAATAATCGATTTGAGAGTACAGTGACCTCGGAGATTTGAGGACTCATGTGTTAGTTTTAAAATAGTTATTTTTATGACTAATTACCTTAGTAGTAGTTAGTTATACTATCGTTACGAGAATTTCTTAGAAATTTCACTTTATCGCGCACAAATCGGAAGTTCGCGTTTTCGCGCGCGCGATTAGTTGAAGGATTTTAGAGCTTTATTTTTAGACTATTAAGAGTGAATAATAATAGTATCAATGGAAGTGTATTAGAGGTTTAGTGCACAAGTGAAACAAAGCTGAGAGAAATCGAACACGAAACGCGCGCAAACGCGCGCTATTCCTAGTTGACTTTTGAAGCACTTTTGGCCACACACTTTTGAGCTTCCTCAAGAAGCTTCATTATCAGCAAAACACTCTCTCTTTCTTTCCTCAAAGCAACCGTGCAACACTAGGAGGAAGAAGAACCAAAAGCTCTTCATTTTCTTGCTTTATTTCTTGACCAAATCTTCTCAAAATCACACTACACCTTGCAAATAACTTGGAGATCAACTTAAGCTAGGAAAGGAGCTGCACTCTCACGGTTTTCTTGAGCTTCAAGGAGCCGAAAATTTCTGATTTAATCATCTAAGGAGATAACTAACGATCAAACCCTTGAATCTTAGTTTATGTAAGCTTTATTGCACTTGAAAGCTTATAGATTCATGTGGGTACCTCTATATTGTTGGAAATCTTGTGAGTGGCCTTTATGAAATTCCACAAAGGACTTGATGAATTGATGTGATGATGTTGGGTGTTGTTTATGTTGATTTAGTGCTTAAACAAGTGATTATAAGTTGAATGATGAAAAGAAAACTCAAAAGAAACAAAAGGGTAGAAGGGGTCGGTTCTGCCCTGTCATTGCCGTGCCCCTTGGTGCAATTTTTTGTGGTTAAATTGTCTTGATTTTGATATAGATATGTTGTATAGGTTGTGTGGAAAGTTTCCACCAAAAATCACTTGATTTGGTTGGCCAAAAGTTGAATTTTTGAAATGGTTTCAAAGCTGGAAAATATGTCCAGAGTTGCTCTGGCAGCGAATTGCAAACGGCTATAACTCGTTGCTCCGACGTCGAAATCGAGTACCGTTTGCGGCATTAGAAACTAGACACTTCCAGTTTTCTAACGGTATAAAATGCATCCCCTGATTCTACTTGAGTGAACCGTACCAGCATTTCAAAATCACCTGTCCTGTTTCTCGGCTGTGTTAGAAAACCTGTTATGTGCTGCTACTTGTTGCTCGATTATAAGATAGTTATGGACAGAATTTCAAAATGATTTCTTCTCAGAAATTGTAGCCTTATAAATGTAGTTTCCAACGCCACCAACCACGCTCAATTCCAAGTTGAATTGAGTGAGTTGTGGCCGAATTGCGAAACTGTTTCAGTAATGGAAAACCCTCTTTTTAGCTAGTTGAATGCTTTAATTTGAATTGGGACTTGATATTTTGAAATTCTTGGTGTGAATCACCTACCAAAAGTATCTTGGGTGTTTATTAGATCTTGTCTTCATAAATGAACCATGTTTGAGATGATTTCATTGACCCAAAAGTTAGCAAAGGGAAAACGGAAGTACAAGGCAGATTGGCCTTGGAAATTCTTGAAACTTTATTGGCTTTGTTAACTGACTTCCCGTACGAAATTTTATATGAAATTTGACAGAGGAATAGCCCTTATATGGTAGGGTAATACTACCAAAGTTGGTGCCATTCCAAGTCCATTTCGATGCTCAACCAAAGTCCTAAAGTTCATGTTTTAAATCTGGAAAACCCTTGTTCAGTGAGGAATTTCAGCATATTTGAGCTGCTATATCTTAGTGCTCAAAACTCCGATTCTTGTTCCGCTTATTGTGTTTTAAACTTTGATTGTAACCCTAATTGAGTTTCAAATTTCAGAGGCTAGTTCACATTTTGTGAATTTTGCCGAATTTTCAAAGTTGGCTAAAAACCAACCTCGAAACTGTCTTGGTATTCCAAAACAGCAACTTGAAGCCAAAATTTGAATGTCTTCCATTTGAAATCATGGAAAAGTGCCTTTTAAAAACTTTTAATACTTTGGAAGTAGTTTCCAACGGTACCAAGTTTTCCAATTTTGGACCTATAGAGAGTGAGATACGATTTTTCAAAGATTGTTTGTCAAATCTGAAATTTTCAAACTTAAAGGAAATTGAGTTCCT